ATCTGAGATATCGAGCACTCTACGTCATAGATGATCTGGAACATCTCATTTATATATATATATATATGCCGAATAAGGTTTGCATTAACAGACCTGCATCCAACCGTGAAGACACATGAATCCATTATTAATGGGATCACCTATTTTGGAAATATTAAGCCTGGTCTCTCGGTAGAGTAATGAGGAAATAAATTTCTGATTTATTTCCTCTATGTTTAGAGCCATCAATGATAGTCATTTTGTTTGTGGGGGTGGGGGAGGGAAGGGACATTTGAAAACTATATCTTTATTAGCATAGGCCTATTTATCATAATGTCCATACATCATCGTATTATAAATTAATTATTAAATTAAGATAATTGAATAACAAAAAGTAATAACATTGTTTCTTGCAGTAGCTCAATTGATAGATGTTAAATCTAAGCCATTGATAATATGGTTAACAATCGTTATTTCCTCCGCAAAGGAGGACGTTATTCACAGGGCCCCTGTGACCATTTTCCGGGGACTAATGTTTCTCTACTGATTTAGCATCACTAGGGTATAAATAAAAAATTGAGCGGTGGAGAATCTGCAGTACATAGGCTAGTATAATATGTTATTGACTGTGACACCATGATTCGCATATACTTACCCGACTGAGCCTCAGCCTGCCAAAAGAGAACGGCGATGAGCAGCTGAGAACTGACCAAAAGTTTCATTTCTGCTAACTAATTTCCAGCAGTAGGCCTACGAAGGGCAATGCACACTGAAATAGCACTTTACAGTTAAATGCTCTTCTGAACAGTTTAATAAATAACTTGAAAACATTAATATTTATGGATGTTTTCTCCGCTTATTAATGCACAAAGCGCCATGAGCGCCGATTTGGGTGGAGGACACCGGCGCTATAGAAGTTTTCATTTATTATTATTATTACTATTTGTTCATGCAAACCGGTCTTTTCAATAACTATTATCTCTACAAGATATGTCTCCCAATGTCACTGAAGCTTTCTATTGATTATCCCACAGATATTTAGTTCCTAATGCTAATTTTGTTTAGGTTTACCCTCCAACAATTATTTATAAAAGGATATGACTAGTATTCATTCAATTCTTGCATTCCATCATGCCAGGGCCCTTACTGATGCGTTTAAATATTCAGGGGTAGTAAGATTTCCGAAAGCTTTTTCTCAACTTGATGTTGCGATTAGAAGTACCGTACTCGCGCGAATAAGTGTCCCGTTTGAATAAGCGCCCCCTCAATATTCCAATCAATCCTGGGACTGTGGATGTTGGCACGATTTGAAGTGTGGAGTGGAATCACATTCTCCTGTAGTCAACATCAAAATGAGGATATTTATTTTGGACAGATGAGAGCTCCATAGACAGACAGTATATATTTCCAACTTTCATCTTCTTACATTTGTCTATAGCCTTGTTCTACTCCTTTTCCGATAATTTGCGCCTTTAACACATTCTCATCTGAGTTTTCAAGAAAACCTTCAATGATCGTGCCATTCTGCTAATCTCAATCGGCCGAATATGGCCAACAAGCTATACCACCACCACTAATTTCATCTGCTATTCTGCTGTTATGTAGGCCTAATACTGTACTCACAACATTCTTGTCGTGACAAGCCATGCTCTCTGGACGATTAGGCCTACCGGTATCTTTTCCGCCGCATCACCATTCGTAATTTGCGGTTTCCTGATGTCCTTATATACGGTAATCGTTTTTCATTCAAAATGTGCCTCTTGAATTTAATAAGTTCTCATAAGAACCACTCGATTTTCATCTATGACCATAAGCGCTCCCTCAATTTCCACCCTGTTTTTATAAGCGCCCCGTTCGATTAAGCACACCGTTTGAATAAGTGCCCCTCAAAAAGTGCAAAAAATATTTTAAGCGCCCGGGCGCTTATTCGCGCGAGTACGGTAATCTTATTGAAGAGCCATTTATAAGTAACAGAGTTTAAAGAAAAATTTTACTGATGTTTAATATTTTTATATAGGTATTTTTTGGACCAAATTTTTATTTTTTTGTAAAAATATCGTTTTTTAGACTTTTCTTTATTTTACTTTTATTGTATTAATGTAGGCTATTTATTCTGTTTTTATATTTACGATCAAATATTCCCTCGTTTTGCTATGTAATGACGACTATATTTTGTATTGCTATTCTATTTGACGATTGTACATATGTTTTACCTTTATTCTCATGATTGTACATTACAATTGATATAATGAAGATTCGTGAATACTACATTTCGTAAATGACAATTGTACATAAATATTTATAATATAATAATTTTAATTTACAATAATATAAGTATATCATTTTTATTAATGAATTTTTAAATTTTATTTTTTAAGAATGTACACGATTATAACAATTATATATTTTTTATGTATTTATTTTTTTGCCAATTTATTGCTCAGAGATTGGTTTAATTTTCCTTGTATGACGATCCATGCAGGTTTTATTTAGTTAAATTTGTTCCCTTTTATTCTTATTTAAACGGTTTTGTGTTGCGTTGTCTTTGTTAGCAGGGTTTTGGTTTTTCAGTTAATTTTTTTTTACTTTTGCTTTTCCTCGGCACCCCTGTTCATTCTTTCTTTTATCGAAAGATTGAAAATAAACAAAAACGTATAAATAAAATAAACGTCGCAAAGTTCACACTGATGTTGTATACGTAAGCTTTTATTCACAGGTTCTTGGCTTATATAAAGATACGAAGAATAATCCTTTTGGTACGAAGAATGGGTACTTTGTATATCTATTATAAGAGAAACCTGTACTAAATTTTGCCTCCAGTTCATAATAACAAAATCCATCAGAGACAAATCCACTGTTTTTTTCCATATGTCATTTCAATCTCCCTTGATTTTGATCGATAACAACTTTGCATCTCTGTCAAAATATGTAGAGAAAAATAAAATGGATACTTGGAACTAGCTATCACCAGTTTAAGTAAAAAACTTAGATTACTAGTATCAGACTATTCATTTAGTTTAATTAATCTGTTCTTGGTCCACAGACCTTTAACTTTGTCGTGTATTATTATTGTTTATTCCGAATAAATTATATTTATATACTTAACGGAAGAAATATTCAAAGGCTTGAATGTAACAAAACACAGTCACTTTATTTGAGCTTGCGCTCTTCTTCAGGAAACACATGAAATTTATTTATTACAGATTCAACAAACCACGGTCTAAAAGGAAATCATGGGCCGAGGGTCCAACACTTAACATACTATCTATTACAATATAAAATATCAAAAATAAGTACACCATTAAATATCAATGTCAAAAAAAAAGGGAAAAAAAGTTCATCTCATATAGTTTTAGTCGTTAAAACAGGCTGTTATTATTTTTTTAAAACATTTTTTATCTTAATATATAAGCTGCTCAGGCTGTCACGAAGAGAGTTCTTGGGCCCGGCTGCTTAACATAACAGAATCTAAATAAAGAGGTTGTTCAAATGGGCACTCATATAATTTAGGATAATTAATCACGGGGTTAATAAAGGAGTTGTCATGCCAACAGAAAATCCCCCCACTCTTAAAAAAAAAAACCGGAATCGAAAACAAGGCTTCGGAAAGCTTTTTAAAAACAAGAGGATAAAGATGGTACACATTAGCCCATCGATGTCTTGAGACAAAATTTAGGCATTTAGAGGCTCTCGGCACACATTTTTATTATGAGATCTAAACGTTGAAGTTGCAGAAAATTGTGGCTCTAAGGCATTTTGCTTTTGGAACAAATGGGATCTAGGTATTTGAAATGGTGTAGATGAATGGAGAAATGTCTGCTCGGGAGCCCCTAGATAAATGAATAATTTTATACTTAGAAGAGATTAGATGCAAGTCATTATTGTTGCACCAAGTCATTATTGTTGCACCAACATACACAATTATCGATGTATTTTTGGAAACGAGTAACGTCCAAGACCGACGACCAACAGTGCACGACAGGGCACTGGCATCGGCAAACTGATCGATTGGGAAAGACATAAGGTGAGTAGTCCAACAAATACAAAAAAAAATTATAGTAATAATAGTCCGAAGACACTACTACTGATACTGATGGGTATGGGCCGTTCGAAGACAAGACTCAACTCCAGTGAAGATAACTCTATATGATATCCTAACAAGAAGAGAAAAATTAAATGTTTATGTATTGCCACATATTTCATAATTGTACATTTATAATAAAAGAATTAATTACTATGATCTACCTTAGCCAATGCACTTACAATTCTATACAATATAATAATCTTTTATTTTCAGCAATAAAACAGAATACTTAAAAAGTCAAGTAGGGCCATTTCAATTTTGTCAAATAGGTCCGTCCACTCATTATACGTTACTATTTATTTCCAGCCGTACCTTAGGATTTATCTGGTTTAATGCCTTCTCAATGCACACTATTATGTAATGAAATGTACTTGACAGTTGTTCAAATCTGTTCAACCATGAAGCCTCTGTGGTTGAATGGTTATGATGCTTTCATTGACAGCGAGAAGTCGCAGGTTCAAATTTCGTCGGAGGCATTTTATTACACAATGTATTTATTTATAGGACATTGAGAGCTATGCTACATGATGTACTATCACGTCCATTGTTTGTACAATGTATTTACATTTCTTTGAAATTGTGTAATGAAATGCCTCTGGCGGGACTCGAACCTGCGACCTCTCGCTGTCAAGGCGACCATCATAACCATTAAACCACGGAGGTTTCATGGTTGAACAGATTCAAATACCACCAGATACACTCCATTACACAATAATTACGGCTAGAAACAAAAATGAATTCTACAACTTCTATTTAGCAAGTGAATCTACTTAATTGGTGTGTAAAGATGAATGATGTTCATACGCTCCATTATTTCCTAACTGTGTTTCCATAGATTGTGGTGCAACATCAATGGATGGTAGATATACTTCATATTCCGTATTAGCATTTGGAATTTCATCATAAAGGTGATGCGTATTATCAAGCATGAGTAAGTCCATACCGGTAGATTGTGCTACAGCAGTATCACTATTGCTAGTAGTTGGCCGATAGTGTGGTACATTTATTGTTGTCATATAATTACTTATGTCTGTTAGTGGTTCCGTTTTTCTTTTAACGAAATATGATCTAAATTAAAGAAAAACAAATCAACAGAGCTTAGTTTGTTTTACTCCAGCAGATTCTGTTTACAATTTTACATATTATAACTAATATAGCATTCCCAAAACACGGTTCACCTTACATATATCATGATCAAAAAAAGTATCTCTACAGGGATCATCACATCTTGTCTTCATAAATGCTCAGAATGAAGGAGTGAATATTGATGTCTTTTATTTTACATGGCATCTTTGGTTGTTCAACTTCTATACAAATGGATTGGTTATAGACGACAAAGTAAAACTTAGAGTAACACTCAAGTATATAATGCTAATACTGTATGAGGATGAGCCAAGCCTTGTTAGTGAGGTGTGTCACCAGATGAAGTTCAAAATACATAATCAGCAAATCTTGTGAATAACTATTATCTAATTTTAGTCACAGAGTGCTACATCTAATTGATCTTATGAGCATTATAAAAACATATTAGCAACAATAACTAATTATTTAAGTTAATAAAGCCTATTGTAACTGTTAAATATTATTATTACAAAATAAGGCCTACCTGCAAAAGAAGACAAATATTGGAGACATCAACAGAATGAAGACACAGAGAATGTACACTGCTATCAGGTAATCAGTTACTGATGATGAAGCATTAATACTACCTGTATTACCTGTAAAAAGTATAAATTTAAAAAAAATCTTAACAAGGTATTGAAACATTGTCCTCATGCTTGTCAACTTATCAGCACACACACGCTAAACATAAAAAAAAAAGTGAACAAGCACATGTTGTAAAGTTTTCTGATTTTACATGCAACGTTATTTATGTATAATAATTAGGGAATTTCAAACAATAAAGTTGACGAAGTGGTTGCTATGCCGCTGGAATGTGTAGGCTTAAAACACGCTGATTCAGAAGAGTGCTAGAAATTGTTCCAAAAAGAAATTTATACAAAAAATCAAAATACTTTACATTATATGTCTCAATTCTTATATGGCTTGGTTCTACAATGCATAAGTTTGAACAACAAAAATCAACAACAATGAGTATAAGTAAACATATCATTTAAGCCAGAATTGTTTGAAGATGTGAATCATCAAATGACAATTTGTGACCACGAACAGATGAATTACGTAATGCATTTAAAAAATGTTTAAAGTGATTCATTACCTATGACCTTTATGTTGAAAGAACAGGAGGTGTTGGTGTTTCCTGAACCGTCCGTTGCAATGACTGATACAAGGTGGTTTCCAATTGCCAAGAAATCATTTTGCTTAATACTTGTTGTAATATATGGAGGCACACCGGAGTTATCTGTTGCGGCAGGAGGATTCCAGACTGCAGCAGCGGTATTGCTTGTCTTGTCTGTGAAAAATTCTGCATCTATTGGGCAAAATGTGATTATTGGCGCCTCATTATCTGCAAGAGAGAGAGAGAGACTATATAATTATGATCATGCAAAAAATAGTAAGACTCCTATACAGTCCATTTTTATTGCGCTTAAAATACTAAACAACTTGAAAAGAGAAATGTTAAACTTCAATTGACTAATTTGACACCTTAACCATGATTTTTATGTGGACGGTTATTTCTGGTGGAATGAGTGGCGGATAGAGAGAAACAAACCTTGGCCGACTAACATTGATATCCAAAATTGTCACAATGGTCTGAAAACAAAATTCGTTGTATGCAACAGTTTAATGATAATGTTAGTGGCATTCATACAGTAGTTCTTAGTCTAAGTGATATAATGACTCCGAATATTTCAGTGTAAAGTATATACTAAATCAAAAACATAAAAGATACATCCTAAATGATGTCTAAATAACCAATATACACAGTAGTAAAATATGAACACTAATCATCTTACCAAATTCACAATATGTTCCAAAATATCCCGCAGCACATGTACAGGTATAGCTGTTGATGTTATCAACACAAAATCCTCCATTTTGACATGATGTATTGTCACACATATAATCTATAATTTTGATATTGTTAATTGATTTCTCAGAAGAAATTTTATAAATTGAGTATTGTAATTATACAGAATCATCAATTGGGTACTAAACTTGGTAATTAATCAGTCATTTACTGGTACTACTTATATTTAATATTTTCTTTGCTGAATATCATCTTTGCTGAATAGTAAAACAAGATAAAAAGCAAGTGAATAACATTAGAGGTATGTTAATTTTGTTATGTACTGTTAGTTACAAAATGCAGGACAATGTAGCATGCATAACTCTTATAGTAGAAACCCTCCTTCGGGACACCCCTGTTAAGTGGACACTTCTACATGAAACGAGGGAAAATATAGCTTCCAACACTATGACTGCCAACCCCTATTATTAAAACATCGCTATTGAGAAGACGGGGACACTTTTTGAGAGTGCGACGAAAAAAAGAAAGGGACTAGGCCATGATTCGACGTTTCGACCTTTAATGGGTCATCTTCAGGAATGAGAATGCTTAGACAATGACTTATAAAATATATAAAAAATGCTACAATATGAAAATGAGCTGAATAAACAAGTCCAACAATAGTGATTATGCGAGAGGCAAAAACGATCCAGCCAAACGAACTGCTGAGTTGGCTCTGTCGGCTGTTGTGGCCAAAATATCATTTTAAAATCTGCATTTTACTTCTGATCAGCACCAAATTTAAGGAGGTCCCAGATTATGTAACAGTGGAAATGTGTGAAAATCTGAAGTAAATCAGTCTATCTATTAGGCTTTACGTTACGCACCAGGAAGGACAGAGAGAGAGTAAGAGACATATAAAAAACACACACACACACAGACGCACACTATTGCAATACCCACAACTCTCTTTCAGAGACTCGAGGGTATTACTTACAATTACTTCTAACAGCCCATTAGCTTGGCAAGGTTTTGATTTTAACTACAGGTTCATATAATTGCACCATCGTAAGTTTAATCAATTTTATCAAAGCAAGGACCTGCATGAAACATCCTGATATAAAGTTTAAAAAAATGCACAAATTATCAAAACAAGTTGAAACCCAACAAAATTACTCAAAAACTCAAAAAAAAAAAAAATTCAAAAAATTAACTATTATTTAATTCATGTTTATTTGTTCTCATATAAGTTACATATTAAAAGAAATAAAAATATTGCTGTTGAATAAAGTACACAGTGTAGACACACCTATCAATGGCTAGTTTGCAAAAGTAGAACTTACTTATTTCACAGTGAATCCCATTATATCCATTAGGACATAAGCAGACATACCCATCCACACCACCACTACATAAGCCCCCATTCAGACATGGATCACTGGAACACTTATTAATATCTGAAAAACACAATCACATGAGTTAAAAAATAAACTTCCATTCAAACAGGCACATTTACTTTTACTTCCTTCTGAAATAGAAAATTCCAACCGTTAAAAATAACCATATAAAAAAAATTGTTGGTTCACTAATTTCCAAAATGATCAAAAACACTGTTTACACTAAGAATATTCTTTTCAATTACCTTCAAAATATTGTTTTGTAATTTTGTTTTGATTTAATTTGTTTGCATTGCAAACACATATAACATTATTGCATGATAGTGGAGTAATATACTGTAAGTTAAATCAATCTTAAAGAAGATTTCTTGTTTAAAAGTTTAAACCTCTTCAAAAAATAGTGGAGCAATTTAGTTACAATGTTCATGAAATAGAAAGAGGGGGTAATAAGATTAATGTTTTGCCTTACCTGACGTCTTATTGTAATTATGCCAAATACATTATTATTATATTACTTCTGACGCCATCTGAATAGAAGACGTGGTACAGAGAGTTAACTTACTAGTTTCACAGTGACTACCATTAAATCCAGCAATGCAGGTACAAAGATAGAAATTCACTCGATCAATGCAGATTCCTCCATTTTGACAAGGGGCGCTTGCACATTCATTGATGTCTAGAACAAATACCATATTATTGCTAAAAAGGATTTAAACTATAACTATTAAATTGACAACTTATTTTCATTATTGTAAAACAAAGAACAAAAAATAGAAGATTAGCCTCAAACTCAGTTACGTTTACATACTACTTATGAATATAATGTACATTTATGTGTAATAATTATTTCATCTTGTTTTAGAATTGTATTTTATCGTTATGTAACCTAATTTCACACAGAGAATGGCTTTATAAGTTAAAACAAGAATTTTAAAGAAGCTTTCTTGCTCAAAAGGTTAAATCTCTTAAAAAACAGTGGAACAATTTAGTTATACAATGTTCATGAAATAGAAAATAAGATGAGGTAATAGGATTGATGTTTTGCCCTACCTGACATGTTATCTTAATTAATCCTCAGTAGATTATTACTTCTGATGCACATGACATCGGAATAAAAAAAAAAATGTGGTACAGAGAGTTAACTTACTAATTTCACAGTGACTACCAGTAAATCCGGCAATGCAGGTACAAAAATAGAAATTCACTCGATCACTGCAGAGGCCTCCGTTTTGACATGGGGTGCTTGCACATTCATTGATGTCTATAAACATAAAACATATACTATATTATTGCTAAAAAGTAATTACACAATAACTCTAAGTCAAGTTGAGACTTATTTTTATTATTGTAAACATACAACAAAAATATACAAGATCAGCCTCATAACTCAGGCTAATAAATGTACATCTATGTGTAATAATTATTTCATCTTGTTTTAGAATTATAAGAGTTTACGTCCGGTGTTTATTATATTTTCCCTCTCCTCGTACATGATGATTGCATGGATGAAGAAATTGTCTATATTTATTTCCTCTATAGTAGAGCAACTAATCAATTATTTTAGGATAGACACATTGGCTGATTACCATAGGCATACAGTATATGTGATGGGTTCGCAAAATGACGCTTTTTATGTTAATAGTTTTGTCAACCTTGGTAATCAAGAGTTTGAATTATTCGTTCTTTTCAGACTGGGGAACCTTTTTAAGTTGCTCAAAATAAAGCGGTCCAAAAATGCTTAGTTGGGGATGCTGCTGACTTTTAATTCTACAAACACCACGGCCACACATGGTTGGGGCTGATGTGAAAAAGAAATTAAGTTTGTATGCCTGAGAATGGCAAGCTAATATTATGTATTTGTCAACAAACAACTTCGCCATGTGGTAATAACTTCATTTTTCACTAAGTTCATTCTCTTATATATATATATATATATATATATAAATATATATAATTAAATAATGATTAAAACAGCGCTCAAATAAAGAAGCAATGATGTAAATATATCGCATCAGGCACAGCCTATCAATGAAAACTGTTTTCTATACACATCATATCTGTCAAAAATCAGCAATCTAAAGCCGGGCACTAACTGCACCCGATAGTCGTGGGCCTACGTGATTTTATAAAGAACGCAACGCGACGACGCTCGCGTAATAGATTGTTTTTAATGAGGATCTGCAGACGGCGTCGCATGGTCTAACAAGGAGCAGTGTTGGATTCGTCATGCGGCAGTTGTACGACCAGCGTGCAATGTAGTGAGTGCCATGGCTTTACAAATCAAACTGTAGATTGTTGTTTAATTTATTGCTACAAAGAAACTTACCTTCGAGACATTCGCCTGTTTTTCTATCACATGGTTGAGTCAATGAGCATGGGCATTGCAGTGTACAGAATTCACCATAGAAACCATGGTCACATGTTGTGATATTAGCGGGAACTAATAACAGTTAAGAATAATGCGAGTTTTCAGGTTTTTGTTCACATTCGCTCACTGGCTCAGTTTAAATTTTAAAATCCTGGCCTGTATCAGGCATTCATTATTGGCAAATCTTGTTGAGAAAATTGTTTCCAATAAAAACCATTAGTTATTAGTTAGCATCACAATTCCAAACAACAGATCATGAGAAAGCAGTTAAATTGTACATTTTGTCAAGCTTTAAATTTAATTCTACTGGTTCATTATTATTAACTTAAGTATAACCAAAATGTGGCATGTTTCCCCTAGAAACCTATATTTTCTTATAGTTGCTTGCTTAAAATAGTAAAAAATACAGTATTGGCCTATGAGATTATTGTTCAATGCAGACATATCGTTAAGCTTACAGTCAATACATTCTCCGGTTGTCCGGTTGCAAGATTGTCTGAATTCACATTGACATTGGAATTCACAGCTTTCGCCAAAATCACCAACTGTGCATACAGCGTCAGGACCAGGATCTATCATACCAAGTGGAATCGAGTTTTAGATATTTAAGATATAAGTATAATTAATTTAACTTTATAAATACAAAGATAAATAGTATAAAAGTTTTATTAGTAGTCATATGTAAGTGTAATAATTACATTTAAATGAAGATAAAACTACTGTAGCTGACTACAAACTGAATTACAATACAAACTGACTGAAATACGAATGTGATTCCCTACCACGTCAAAGATGAAGAAATTGCAAAAAAAATTGGAAGATTATTTAGAAAACAAAACGAGTATGTACTGGTACGGGCATTTATAATGCGCCTCTTCCTTGCAGTTATAAAGCGCAGTTCCTTTCCCTGCTCATTGGGTCCACATGCTAAGTGTTGCTGCTGGTAATCAGCGCAGGAGCAAGTAACCCCACCAGGTTCCCAATATACTCTTCACCAGGTTCCCATATATACTCTTATGTGAAGACTATACTATGCTATATATTAATCGACAGTGAGTGTTAGTTGAATATATTCGTTAAAACGTTACATCTTTAAAACAGATCGAACCTTTGCAAGTGTCGCCAACGAATCCGTCCGTGCATTGAGATCCAACCTCGCATCCATAAAAATAGTTACAATCGTAATCACTGCAATGGCACTGAAGATCACAGTCTGGTCCGTACTGGCCAGGTTCGCACACTTAAATAAGCAACAAAACTATTAAAAATTCAGTCTATGATATTTGAAATTTTTCTGACACAAGGTACTTGCCTTTATAGAAGTCTTACATTTTCCACATTGTCAAAACATCTCATAGAATATTACATTCCATTTTCTTTCAATTGAACGTATTTCTACAACTGAATGCTGAATGCGAGACTGTAAATACATTATAGTAAGCCCTCCAAGTTACAACTGCTCATACGGTAACGGTGCTTATTCATATTAAAATCAATAAATCATTTAATGCCAACACAACAAAAAAAAAAAAATTTATAAAATAATGCCACAGAATAGATATATAAAACTAGATTCGGAATTCATAATAGACGAATTTGGTGATACGCTGGGACTGATGATAGTTATTTTGGTGATTTTTTAATGACTGAACATGAAGGAGACTTTTGGTATCAGAATAAAAAAAAGGCATTTAACAAGACATGGAAATTTGTTAATACAATGTCAGTATGTCGACTCAAAAGTGTACGAATTCGTATATTTGATGCGCATGTACCATATGGCATTGTTTTTGCACTAATGGCTGAGAGAGAATGGAACTGTGAATTCAGTGTCAGGAAATCATGATATGCAAAAAAACCTAATTTTCAATTTCAAAAAGTGCTGTGCGCGTGAAAATGTGCATACGCCATGACGCGTGCGGACGGCATTGCACACAAAGTTGAACCTTGATATGTAGTACACTTGTGTCTTTCGGGTTGTAATCCACCCTGCTGCCGTTTGTTGGGTTCGTTATGTAGTGAACATGTAAAATGAGGGTTTAAGTAATGTTAATAAAGTTGAACTATTAGAAATCTTCGCCGCTGGTAGCGTGTCACATAATAACCACCATGTAATCAAAAGAATATTGAGGAAACCGATTTATACAAATTTTTTCATTGATAATATGCCTGATCTTGTGGACGTAAGTTGCCGTTAGAGTCAAACGCATACCCATTTACCCATTTTATGTTGTGTTAGGACCCAATTCCAGCCTGCGTCTGCCATGGGTCTTCAATATATGAAGAATATTATTATGTTTTCGTCACTAAGGACGAGTTAGGTGATCCGCCGGACATCGACCCCAGAAGTGTACTGAAAATGACCTGAAATGTGCTTTAAATTACTGTATTTAAAAAGTCATATTTGATTATAGTTTGCGCACGCATCTTCCCGTGTGCGTACGTGTGCGTTAAAGTTTTCATTATTCTAAATATCACCTTTTAGATGCAGTAATTTAAAGCACGTTTCAAGTCATTTTCAGCACACTTCTGGGTCAAGTCGGGCGGATCACCTAACTCGTGACGAGTTCAAATCTAGTCTTTTTCTTATTCTTCTTTCTTTCTCCCCATTTCTGTTCGCACGATATCTCAAAATTGCCGCGAGCTACGCACATGCCAACTTCAACGAACATTTGGCTTCATCTGAAATAGTCATAACAAGATTTTTAAGGTTGCCAGTCACGCGTGACGTCATCTACGCACAATTTTGATACCTCACGTTCGTAGTAACGATAAGAATTTTCCCTTCATATGGACCATATAATCAGTCTGATAGCGTCGAAATACAGTCTGCGCCCTCTGTTGGTCTGTCCAATATATTATTTCTCAATAATTGAAGATGGAGAGGTCCAAAAATCATTCATTTTGACCATGATGACATCATCAAAATGAAAATGAAGAACATAATTCCGAAAGAGAATTGTCTCAGCTATAACTTGCTCGGAAGATGAGAATCAATTGACTAACAATAAGAAAGATACGCTTAAATAAATATGTTAATAAATGAAGAAATTAAAGGAAAAAGTTTTTTTTAATTCAGATGGCAAAATGATGACGTCACAATTTTTGATCAGCCAGTATGATCTATAAAATCATATCTACAACTCATGTGCTTTCAGAATATGTAATAAAAAATGGGTGTTACCGATCATTCTAAGGAGCTATAACTGATTGAAAATATGTATGATTTTGAGCACTTAAATTTTCGACGCACGCGTACGCGCATGTTATGAAGCGTGCACAGAAAATTTGCGCGCATTACATTCATACTTGACTTGAAGTTTTATGCCAATTGAATATGATTTAAAAATGTCAATTATTTATGATGATATAGGCGATTTCAATGATTTGAGGAAAGAAAGATGAATGGTCAGAAAAAAAAATTATGTAAAAAATGATGACGTCATCAAAATGTAAAAAGCTGTGACATTTATGAAAGAGAATTGTCTCAGTTAGAATCTTCCTCGAAGTTTGGAGAAAATCAAACACAGATAAGGAAGATACGCTCAAATGCGCAATCGATAATATCCAGTTTGTTGAATTCAGATGGCAATATGATGAGGTCATAATGTCCGATCAGCCATCAGTGGTGGCGCCAGAGGGGGCTGGGGGCTATAGCCCTCCCGTCGGGGAAGCATAGCCCCCCCGTCGGGGAAGACGATAAATTTTGTCGGGGAACAAACAAATAAAAAAAAATATTTACATGTAATATTCGTTTAGCCACCATATCGTTTGTGTTAACTTTTCATCACAACAACAACCACAATAACAATAATAATAATAATAATAATAATAATTCAAATAGACTAATTAAAAATAATTTGCGTTCTGTTATTACAAATGCTAATTTAGATAGCCTCATGATGGTTGGAATACATCGTGATAGGTGAAGCAACCTTGACCATGACAACGTGGTTGACAGATTTCATGCAAAAATTTCCAAAATATACAATTTCACTTTCAAGAATGAGGATTTGAAAATAAATTAGATGGTTACATTGCATACTCTTTGTTTCTTGCTTTATTCAATATGTTTTGGTTTTGGAAGCTGATGTCAACATTAGAAAGCATAGCCTACATGAAGTCATATTATAGTAACTCGATGCCTCAAATAAGTAATAAAAATTCGCCATAATTCATTAAATATCCGTGGCTTCGCCCCCTGGACCCCCCACCGGGGCCCTGGGCGGCCCCCAGCCAAGTGAGACTCGATTCGCTCCACTAGCCCGCCCCGTAGGGGCCTTTAGACCCTCCGTCGGGCAGGTCCTGGCGCAGCCACTGTCAGCCATTATGACCTATAAAATCATATCTACAACTTATGTGCTTTCAGAATATATAGTAAAAATTGGGAGCTATAACCGATTGAAAATAGGCATGATTTTGGCCTATTTCCGCTCTAAGTCAACAAAAACGCGCACATGGATTCGTATCTTTTCTGCGCGCGTACAGCATTGCTATTGACCCTAAATGACCGAAAAAGATTGGAAATTTGTGAATACAGTGTCAGGAACCTAAAACATGTAAAAAAAAAATGATAATTCCAGCTTCTGTACATGCGCAGGACGAAAAATTACGAAATGCTCAAAATGACCAAAACATGCTTTAATCTAAGTCAAAAAGTGATTTTGAGCATTTTAAAATTTTGACGCACGCGTACGCACATACTTTCCTGCGGATGCGCGGACGGTAATGGTGCAGGAAGTTGACACTTGATGTGAAGTATACTTGTGTCAAGTTTCATTGAAAAATACCCGTTAGTAAAGAAGTTATGGTCAATGATAGAATTTCACAAAATGGCGCGTAGATGACATCACGTAACTGTGACGTCATCCACAAAGTCAGGTGCACAACTTCAGATGTAGATCTATATGCTACGTTAGCAGCAAAGATCAAGCATGTGCCGTTTTTTGAGAAAATCGACCAACAAAAAAGGGTGGGAAAGAATAAAAAAAGAAATAAATAAATAAAGAAAAATCTGAACGAAAACAAAGGTGATACGCTCGGAAGCGTATCACCAAAAAACCCCAAAATTATGTCTAATAATTATACCAATACATCTTACTTTGGTCACAGTTTGGACCCATCCAGCCAGATGCACAAACACATCCCAATGGGTCAGGGTAACAAAATCTAACTCCGCTACAGTTGCCAGTCGGTTCACTACTGCATGTTTTACTGCATGTGAGTCCGAAAGCGTTATCTTGTTCAGGGCAAGCTGCAACATAAAAAAAAAACCTTTTCTTATTAATAACCATCAGAATATACAGTTTCACTCTAATTTATTTAAAATATATTTGAACTAATCAACTTAAAAAACAATGCATAAATGACGAGTCAAACCTACCTGTTTCACATTGGTCTCCAATGAATCCAGGGGGACACACGCATGTGCAAGTGTCAGCTGAACAAATGCCGCCATTGTAGCAAATAGGACAATAATCAATACATGCTGGACGACCACACAAGCCGCTCGGGCAGCCTAAAGATATATGTCATATTGTTAAGCCCATTAATACATAAGTTACAATAGCTCTAAAATACACAGGCCCTATCCACAAAGTATATTGG